CCCCCCACACAAGTGGAGACCCCTGGTCTCCAGAGTCTTAGATAGTCCAACACAGTCAAAACCACTCGGTGCCACCCCAAGCTACAGTTTCCAGAATTTCACACATAGCAAGGAGCCATGGCAGGGAAAAGCGGCGTCGAACTGGGTTCTTTCTGCAGTGCTCAAACCACTAGGCCCTATACCCGCCTCCCTCCCCTCCCGCGCTCGACCCGCAGAGAAGAAGGGAGCTGTGGTTGGCCACCGCAAAAGAGGCGAAAGAGAAAGCCTCAGCCTTGGGGCCTCTTCTGAAAGAGCCTCCTCTCTCCCTCCCAGCGTTGCCTCCAGACCAGTCGTCCTCCTTTTCCAGGACCTGTCCTCCATTTCAGCCTTCTGTCCGAGAGGCATTTCAAAATGCCCTCCCTTTGGAGCACGGCTAAGAGGCACGGGTTTGTATGGCTATGGGTCTTTCTAGCTTTTATTGCATCGCGTCCTACATTTCCCCCCTGAATGTCCTACATCAGGGGTAGGCAACGTTTCCCCTTTAAGGGCCGAGGGACTTCAGCTCCCAGAAGTCTCAGCCATGTTGGCCAATAGTCCCATGTTGGCCAATAGCTCTTGGGATTCTGGGAGCTGAAGTCCCTCGGCCCTTAAAGGGGAAAGGTTGCCTACCCCGTCCTACATTTTGCAGTGCCTGGTCCTCCTTTAGGATTGTGATATCTGGTCCAGAGTGGTGGCTTTCAGGTCTCGCAGTGGGAACTCTTGATATTTCCTGTTTGGTGTGTAGACATTGCCCAGCCCTTCAAAAGAGAAAGTAGTGTAGTGTGTACAGAGCCAGTGTGATGTAGTGGTTTCAGTATTGGATTAAGACTCTGGAGACCAGAGTTTGAATCCCGGCTTGGCCATTGAAACCCACTGGGTGACCTTGGGTGGGTCACACACTCTCAGCCTCAAAGGACAGCAATAGCAAATCCCCTCTGAAGAAACCCACCAAGAAAAACCCAGGATAGGTTCACCTTAGGGTTACAATAAGTTAGAAATTACTTGAAGGCACACAACAACAACAACAACAACAACAACAGCAATAATGGTGTGTGTGCACTGGGCAGGGGGGAAGCTACATCTACACTACAAAAGTAATGCAGTTTGACACCTGTTTAATTGCCATGGCTCGGTGCAATGGAATTCTGGGATTTGTAGTTTTGTGAGTTATTTAACTACCTCTGTCAGAGAACTGTGGTGCCACACCAAACTACAAATCCCAAAATTCCATAGGCTGGACCCATGACAACTAAAGCGATGTCAAACTGCATTAATTCAGCAGCATGGCAGTGAACTATTAGCTTTCTAGCTAGCAGTGAAAGGTTGCTTCTTTGGGACTGGGTGGCATACTGCTGCCTTTGAATCAGGGTTTTCAGGGTTGATCGGTTAAAGGCAGACACAAGATGTTCTGATGCCTAGGGTTGTGTGTTCAAGATTATCGCAGGCCCTGAGCTTTGTGGGCCAAACCTGAGACAGTGATGCCATGAAGTGTTATGCATTAAGTACCCACCAAAGTTGTTCACAACTGCTCATTCAAATATACAAAGGGAGAGAGAGAAAAAGAGAACAAATTTTCCTGTTTTGAAATTAAGACTTGGCTAAAGAGACTGTTCCTAGATCAATGTGAAATGGGAAATTATTCCTTCTCACTTATTTGGGAAGATGGGATAAGGAACGTTTAATCTAGCCTACTTGCTTCTGGCCAGAAAGTGGATGCAGAACAAAGCAGAGCAGAAGGTGAGCCCTGATGCCACAACAACTGGGAAGGAAGGGAAGGAGGAATCTTTCAAGTTGCAGCCAGAAATAAATTCATCTTTGAAAACTGTAACAAACCGTAAGTATTCTGTAATTCTGTAAGTACAGTTTGTTACAGAAAACATGGCTTTAGTTTATATATTTACCTTCCAGTTCTAAAAAGGGTAGCAGCATTATTTATGTCAGGAAGGTAAAAGAATTAAAACAAAAACTAAGGAGAAAGAAGTTATAAATTATTTTCTGGTTGTAAACAATGTTTAACATCAGTCCATAAGAAAAAGATTTCATTGAGAAGATAGAGATACGGAATTTGACTGAAAACAAGAATAGTATATTATATGGGGGGGGGATAGGAAATAGAAAATAAAAGGGATGTAAGATATCTAAAAATATGACTCTGGGGTAGAGGACAGGAAGTATATGTTTGTATATGTTGTATGTATTTTAATTGATATACAGATAGTTAAGTGTAGGTTTGTCTATGGCATGGCATGTCTTGTTATGTTGTTATTTTGGTTATATTGTTACTTTTTTCTTTTTAAACCCTGGAAAATAATAAAGAAGATTATAAGGAGGGGGAAGAAAACAAGAAAACTGTAACAAACTACTGCTCTATTAGTCTTTCCTCTTGCCCAGAACTGAACCCAACATAACCGAAAAATTTGCATCTGTGGGCGTGTCTGTACTGGCTGCTTAATCCAGCAAATAGGCTAGATTAAATGTTCCTTATCCCATATTCTTAAATAAGTGAGAAGGAATAATCTTCTGGAGCATTATGCCCTGCACTGGCCCCAGGCTGATGGCCACAAGAGAGCCCACACAGACTAGGCCAAATCTAGTGCAATGCAGCATTATTGTGCATATGGGCCAGCTGGGCCAACACTGCATCCTCAGTGCCACCTTTATAGCTGCTACTTCTCCCAGGAATTCCTTGCAAGACCTTTCCCAGCATGCTGGTGCTTCTCTTGAGGTCAGAACAGGGTGCTCCACCAAAGGATCAACAAAGAGGGGGTCGCTCTACCTTCCTGGCTGTCTCTCACAGGCACGAAAGTGGTGATGGTGACTCCAAAAGAGATCCAGCCACTTCCCTGCTCAGTGCAGGGTAAGGAGGATAGAGCAGCTCTTGGCATATGGACAACTGGATTGGCTGAAGCAGACCTGATCCTGCTGTCCACGTGGCCAAAGGAACCAGAGGCACTCCAGTTTTTTTCTGGAAACCCTGGGGATTTCCCAGATTTTGCTTACTTCAGAGCAAATTTGGGTGATGGCCAAAAACCTGGATCCTCCCCAGTAATTGCCATACATTGTGGAGACTACCATTGGGGGTGAATGCAACATTTTCCACTGATGTAGACAAGCCCCTTGTTTCCTGCCTGGAGATAATCCACAAAGCTGGAGACCCAGGGCCAGGCATTGAAATATGGCAACCCAACTGCTGCTCACAAATGCATACTCACACCTGAGGCTATTGCCTCACTTGGCTTAATGGCAGGGCTGGACCCCTGACCTACAATGTTGTGCACACTAGAGACCTGATTTTGTCAGTCATGTGGGCCTTTCCTGGAATCCAGGGGAATTTCCTCCACCTCCCTTAGTGTCATGCTTTTCCTTTGGGAAGCAATGACTCCCAGAGGAAAGAGGAAGCTGCTCATAGACCAGCCTCAGCATCCAAAACAGATGAAGCCAAGTGGTTCAGAGACCAGGATTTATGCAGGGTGCAGTGGAAGGCCAGCATCTCAGACCAGGTATGTGTTACTGTTCTCTTTGGGCTCCACAGGAAGACATGGAAACCACGGATAGGGAATGTGCAGGAGCTGTAGGCTGTGTTAAGGAGGGTCTCTAGATATGAATGTGCCTTAAGCTCTATGGTACCCTTTCAGGGGAGCTTGTCCTCAAGCAGAGTTTAGAGAAAATCTCACAGAGTTTAATCTCCAAGTTTCTTGGACAGCACATTTTGGACTGCTTGTAGTAAAAGCACTATATCCAAGCACTATTTATATAACAAGGCTTTGCAGCCTAGAGTGACCTGGGTACGTGGGACTGAGAGCATCTTCAGCCTAGTGCTGTGTTGAGAGATGTGTAAACATTTTCAAGAGACTCTGAGGCTGCATCAGCACTACAGAAATAATCTGGTTTGACACCACATTAACTGCCATAGCTCAGTGCTATGGAATTCTGGGAAATGTAGCTTTCCTCTGGTGCCACAACAAACTACAACTCTCAGAATTCCACAGTGTTGAGCCATGGAACAGGAGAGCAGACATCACCTCATTCTTGGAATAGACCAGAGGCTGGAGTTAGAATAAATCTTCCAGCTACTGTGCTAGTGTGTTTTCCATCCCTTGTGAAGGGAATGGGAAGGCTTTGGATCTAGGAGATCCATGATCAACACTCTCCATCCATCCATCTTCCTTCCTCTG